CAGCTCCCTCCCGAGGGCTACGTGGTGGTGGTCAAGGTGAGAGCCGTGGACAGGGCAGGTGGAGGCTGCTCATTCTGGCCCTGGGTGGAAGGGGGTGGAGGTGGGCTTCCTTGTCTGCCCAACAGGTGCCTTTCCCAGAAAGACTCCCTTTAGTGCAAAGTGGTTGGTGGGAATTTAGTGCCAGGGAGTCGTGGAGGACAGATGCCATCCCAGGAGGGCTCTTCCCCAGGGAAACACGGCTTTCTCCAAAAAGCAAGGGGTGATAGTCACCCTACCCCTCTCTCTCGCAGAACGTGGGCCTGACCCTGCGGAAGCTCATTGGGAGTGTGGATGATCTCCTGCCCTCCTTGCCGTCGTCCTCCCGGACAGAGGTGGGTATACTCCTGAAGCTGAAGACAGTTCATCAGCTGTCACTTCTGCCCTTCACCTTCACCCATCCAAAGCTGCGCTTCACACAGGAGACTCAGAAGGACCACATGGGCAGCCTCATGTCTGTCTGCTGAGCCTTCCACATGTGGCTCTCCACAACAGATCTGAGCGGGACCACAGGGGGGCTGAGTGGGTGCCCAGGGACCCGACCAGCCTCCTAGGGGGAGTCTCCCCGTTTAAGTCTTAGAGAGTTGCGGTGATTTCATAATGCACGAGGGTGTGCAAGGGAGGACAGACCTTCCTTTTCCCTTTCCCTTTCCCTTTTCCCTCCCCGTGACTCTTTATCTAATTACCTGCCACACTAAGGCTAAGTGTACTAAAGTACTGTGGTACCGTACTTTGCAGGTGTGATTAAGTTAAGGATCTTGAGATGGGGCGATTGTGCTGCATTATCCAAGTGGGTGCAATGAGGCACAAGGGTCCTTGTAAGAGGGTGTTGGAAGCAGACATCCTGTAAGAGTCAGAGAAGGAGATGGGATGACAGAAGCAGAGGTTGGGATAATGTCACTGCTGGAAGGATCCAGAAGCCAAGGAAGGCAGCAGCCTCTAGAAGCTGGAAAAGGCAGGGAACAGATTCTCTCCCCTAGAGCCTGTAGAAGGAGCATGGCCCGGCTGTCGCCTTGACTTTAGCCCCAGAGGACCCATTCCAGCCTTCTGACCTCCAGGAGTGGAAGAGACTACTCTGTTGTTTCGAGCCACCACCACCCCTCCCCGCCCTGGTCCTGGGTTGTTACCGCAGCTGTGGGAGACGCTGAACATAGTCGGACGTTGAACAGTGTGTTGAGCCTCTGAAAGTGTGTTGGTTGTCTGCCTGCAAACCAGCCATGGAGCTCAGCAGAACCCCATGCCCCCCACCAGGCTGTGAGCCAGCAACACAGCACAGGGACGGCCGCCTCACACCGCTGTCCCCACAGCCTGTGACTGTTGGAGACAAGACAATGCAGGAGGGCTTGGGCATTTCCCAGCCTCCCTCTGGGTGGCAGCAACAGCCCATAGAGGAGCCCCAGCTGGAGCTGTCCCTTCTGATGTGAGAGGTCCTTACCCTCCACGTGAAGGCTCCGTCATTCATTTCACTTGGTAAATATCTCGAGGGCCGAGTATGCGCTCAGCGTTGTGCTAGGCACTGGGATATGGTGGTCAAACAAACCTTACAGCTCAAGCCATGGTCCCTGGTCTCTTGATTTGAAGGTAGACAGTTAACACATGAATGAGCGCCCTTGTTGTCCCCTGACCATTCACTCTGACCTTGGGCCAGCACGAGGGATGCAGCCGTGAAGGGGACAGTCTGTGGGGCTGCGTCAGACTGAGCTAACATGGGATGGGCTGGGGTCCGCAGCGTCTGCAATGTGTGTCCTTGCTGACCTGGCTCCAGCCCCCATGGGGCCTTAGGCTCAGTCCAGGCTTGGATCAGATCTGTCCCCCAAGAGAATTTCCGCCTGCCTCGGCCAACACCAAAGGGGATACTTGCACGGCTTCCCCAATTCTCCAGGCTTAAACTTTGCAGCCCCTCAGGCTCCCAGCCTCTCCTGTGTGCTTTTCTTACAGATCGAGGGGACCCAGAAACTGCTCAACAAGGACCTAGCAGAGCTCATCAATAAGATGCGCCTGGCCCAGCAAAACGCCGTGACCTCCCTGAGTGAGGAGTGCAAGCGGCAGATGCTCACAGCCTCCCACACCCTGGCGGTGGACGCCAAGAACCTGCTCGATGCCGTAGACCAGGCCAAAGTTCTGGCCAATCTGGCCCACCCGCCTGCAGAGTGATGGAGGGTGGGCGCCACCTGCCTGTGTCTTCTGCCCCTGCCTGTAGTGTTCCCTCCCCTGCCCCCCCCGGCCCCTGCCTTGTCTTCGGTCATGTGGGTCTTCTCAGGGGGAAGGCTGCGGGGAGTCCTTCTTCCCTTGCCACTTTGCACGACCCCCTCTCCCCACCCCAACCCCCGGACTGTGCTGCTCAGGCTGCAGCTGGACAGAGGGGACTCAGGGCTATAGATGCCAGGGGGTGACCAAGAGGGCTCAGAGGGAGCCCTGCTGCTGCTGGCCGCTCCCTCCTCACACCTGCCTGCCCCACTGGGGAGAGGGGGGGGGTCACACTGGTGCCCCTAGTGGTCACGATGGCTTTATGCGTGGACATGGCAGGCCTCTCTATTGGAGCCAAGCTATTCCTTCTTCTTCCGCCCATGGAGGTCCCCTGATGCACAGAGGGGCTGGGGAGGGGCTTTCCTTTTGGGGGTGGGCGGCTGGTGAGATGAGGGATGGGCCTGGCTTTCTTGTACAGTGTATATTGGAATTTATTTAATGTGAGTGTGGGCTGGACTGACAGCCATGTGCCCCCCTGAGGGGGGACCTGGGACCCAGTCCAGGAACAAGCTACTGGGAGTCCGGGCACAAGACGCTGTGTTGTCAACACACCAAGCGTCAGGGAGAAGGGGAGAGAGGAGGCCAAAACAGGACTTGGACCACAATCTGCTCTCTTCCCTGTGCCCTTTCTCTCTCTTCCCTGACTCTGCCCCTTCCTTCTCTCCCTCTTTTCTTACTTCTCCTTTTCTCCGCCCCCCTTTCCCATCTGCCCCACCCCTCCCTTGTGTTTGTGCAAAACACTCTTTTACCTTCTTTCTATTTGACTTGTGGATGAATTAAAATTGTACCATTTGCTTTGTGGTTTGATTGTTTTGTTTGCTTGACCTGCTCTTTGTAGGGAGGGCGACACTGACCTCGGGCCACCGCCCTGGAAGAAATCGATTGTGCTCTGGTGCGTGTAGATCAAGAGCCGACGCCAGGCTCGAGCATGAGCACAGAGCAGTGTGTGGTGACACCGGGGCAGTAGGGTGAGGTGCGTGCTCCAGCCCCTTCACCCCTGCGCCTGACCCAAGGGTGACTTTCCAGCAGGGACCCAGGGCAGCCCCCTCCTGCGCCACATGAGCAACGCCAATGGCACTCTCCCAGCTGTTGTGCAAGCAACTGGGGCTCCAGTGGAGCTTCAGTGGTCCTGGGGCTGCTGAGGAGGGGTCGTACAGCTGAATGAACACTGGCCATAGCTTTATTTCATCTCTTTACTCACATGCGAGGTGGATGGGAGATGGAATAGCATGAGGGAACATCACTGCACCAGAATGGACGGAGAAGGGAGGCTGGGAGGCTGCCCCCACACAGGAGCCGGGGGAAGCCAGAAACCAGATGGGCCGCCGAGTGGGGGTTCTTGGGAAGAACTGAGGAGTGAGGGTCTGGGCCGGGGTGTTGCAGGTTTCCTCTGTGATCGTCAGAGAGAGGTGAGTGGGGTACCTCAAAGGCCAAAGGGAAACCGGAAGTTCGCCCTGCTCAACTTCCTATCCAGTGTCCCCATATGGTCCGGAGAGCCGGTGTCCACTTCTGTTAGCTGCTGAGGTTCTGCCCTCTGAGGGCTGGACAGGCAGGGGGAGGCCTGACCCTGGGGCAGGAGCTCCTCCGGGCTCCAGCATGCGGCTGAGGGCTGTGGATTGCTGGATTGTGAGGTGCGAGGATTCTCGGGCTGCACAGAGTGGCTCAGAAGCCATTGCGGGGCTTCAGGAAGGACCAGGAGGCCAGGCTGGGAAGGGAAGCTGTCCTGCAGCTTCTGCATTTCCACAGCAGTCGAAGTGCAAAGCAACCCAGCTCACTCCTGTCAGTCACTCTGAGCAAACTGTCCTGCGGGCTGCCCACCACTTGCCCCGCCAATGGGTGGGAGGAGCAAGCTGCAAGCTTGAGTTGAGTCAAGGATGGCCCAGGATACCTTCCCGGTTTGTCAAGGTGCATTCAAGGACAGATGGCAGGAACTGCAGTGCGGCCAAGCCTCCTGGGGCTGGCTGGTGCTGAGCCAGTTTGCAGCAGGAAGGTGAGGGGGTGTTGCTAAAGGTGAGGGGAAGCCAGGGGTTCAAATGAGCTTCCAGGTGGGTGGGATGGCCCAGCTACCTGCATCCAACCACACATCCCCCTGCCACCCAGAAGGTCTGACCCGTACCTTTACCCCACCCATGGCCCTGCTTCCCCCTTTCTCTCCTTCCAGGAGAGTCTTGGCCATCGTTAGACCTGTAGGATCAGACTCAAGACACCCTAACCTGCCTTTCCAACCTCCTCCCACAGCTCCCACACTGAAGCCCCATCTCAGTCTGCCTGTTCTCCTAGACAGCTTGGGCTCATTCCTGAATGCAAAATATTGTTCACAACCCTTCCACCCCCTAAAACACCCTCTCCCCTCTCCACCACAAACCCATCCTTTGAGGTCTGTGCCTCTACCCGCTGGATTGCCCCTCCTGTTGCTCAGTGTCTTCATGGCTCCTACAGGAAAATCTTACATGGCTTCGCATTGTCACCACCATATTATAACCTTCTGCAGAGCAAGATCCTTAATTCTGAGTTCCTCAGCATCCAAAACCGGGCTCTGTGCCCAGCAGAGTCTCAGCACACAGTACAATAACGTCCAATGAATTGACCCAAGGAGCCTTCGATGATCAGGCCCGTGTAGGGACTTGACGGAGAGTGACTGCAGTCGGATGGCGTTGACCCCAAAGGTGTACTAGATGGGGCAGTGGTTAAAGATGGTCAGCAGTGCCACCACTGGGTGAAAGCAAGGGACAGGAAGTCAGATCATCCCAGCCAGGAACGGAGGAAGAAAGAGTCCAATGGTCCCCAGAAAGCAGACGATGACAAACAACCAGAGGAATATCCTATCAATGACCATGGCCACATACTTCCAGTCTTCCTTCACCTGCAGGTGGAAATGGGCTCACTGTGACAGAGGCCAGGCCTTGGGAGAGGGGAAGTGTCCCACCCATGAACAGCCTCTGTACGGATGACATGGGGCAGCCGTGACCCCACTGAGACCTGGGGAAGTTAAGGTTGTCTCAAGACTCAAACAAGCCTCTTCTAGTGATCCCAACCCTATCCCACCCCTATGGCATGACCCAGAGCCTTTCCATCGACTCTCAATTTCCAGATAAGGGAGACTAGATCGTTCTAGAACCACCAAGGGGCATGGACCTTCCCAGGGGGCTGCAGTGATTTAAACCCGACACCCGGCAGTTACAAAATGGTGAAGACCGTGCTGCCCCCATGTTGCCTCCCCACCCAACCCCCCACCCGCTGCACGAGGTGGAGAGGAGGAGCTAGGTGAGGTAGGTGTGGCCCAGGGAAAGGTGGGAGGGTCATGGGGGAGGGTGGGGGGCAGAGCTTTGTGGAATTTGGGCTTTCAGCCCAAGCAAGCAGGTCTGGATTCCCACCTGCTCTCAGATTAGATAATGATTAATTTTTCTAATCCACTCAACAAGGCCACCCCCTAATAACCACCTGGCCTTTCATCCTTCCCTAGGCTGGTAAGAAGTCTGTGATCCCGAGCAGTGGCCTGCTGACCTACTAATGCTGAGCATGGCAGGGGCGGGGAGGGGAGCCCACCTGGTACAACCAAGGTTCCTCAAGGTTTGTGGGTGAATAGTGAATTCCACAACATGCCCAGAGCCCACGAAACAAATAGAACTGGGAGGAAACCACCAGGACAAAGGAGGAAGGCTGAGGAAGCAGCAGCCTGATTTATCTGATTTATCATCTGATGATATCCACTTTGCCTCCCTCTGTCTCCTTCCTCCACCACCTACAGGGTAATGGTGACAAGGATGGTATGGGGAATTTCAGCATCTGAGGTGCCTCCCCCTCTGGCTTGCTGTCTTCCAGTTAGCCTTAGCTGGGGCATTCTTGATTGCTACTCTGCCACCAGCCAGCCAGACATTCTTTATCACACTTTAGTCCAGACTCCCAAGGGCCACAACTGAAGGAAATGGGTCCTCGTGGAGGAGACTAGGTGGTCTAAACGAACACCTTGGGATGAGGGGTAGTCACCCAGAGGAAGAGCCCCTCTCCCGGCCCCAACTCACCGAAGAGTCAGCATCCTCAGATCGCAGGTGATCAGCAATATAGTGCACACCTTCCAGTGCCTTCTGTATGCGAGGTGACAGCAGAAGCCCACCCTCCTGCAACCCGGCCTCCGCCTTGGGACCTGAGGCCCCTTGGTGCAGACCACCATGGCTGCAGAGGACACCCAGGGAGGGGGACGACTGAGCCGCCCACACCCATCTGTCTTCTTCCTCCTCTTCCTCTTCCCTCTCCTCCGCATCCACGTTAGTCTCCAGCCAGTGGCAAGAGGAGCTGGGCTTCAGATCTGGGGGGTCATGGGGCTCCAGGGAGGGCAGGGGCCGGTTCATCAGAAGCCACCGGGGCACACAGCCCAGAAAGGCCACCCGCACCCAGTGGGGCATCGTGTGGGTGCTGGGGGAGCGGTGGTGGACGTTGAGGACAAAGACCGTGATGACGATGGAGAGCGTGACGAAGATCATGGTGAAGAGCAGGTACTCGCCGATGAGCGGGATGACCAGGGAGGTGGAGGGGATGATGTCGGTGATGAGCAGGAGGAAGACGGTGAGCGAGAGCAGTACGGAGATGCAGAGCGTGATCTTCTCGCCGCAGTCTGAGGGCAGGTAGAAGACGAGCACGGTGAGGCAGGAGATGAGCAGGCAGGGGATGATGAGGTTGATGGTGTAGAAGAGGGGCAGGCGCCGGATGACGAAGTAGTAGGTGACGTCGGGGTAGATCTCGGCACAGCAGTCATACTTCTTGGTGTTGTAGGTGCCCGTGGCCTTGATGATGGCCCACTCGCCGCTCTCCCAGTAGTCCTTCAGGTCCACCGTCGGCTCCATCTGCTCCAGGTCGATCTTGGCCTTGTCGTAGGTCCAGGAGCCAAACTTCATCTTGCAGTTCTGCTGGTCGAAGGGGAAGAAGGTAACGTCGATGCTGCAGGAGCTCTTGTAGATGGCGGGGGGCACCCAGTGCACGGTGCCCGTGGAGAAGAGGTGGGCCTTGGTCATGTGGGTCACCGCAAACTCGCCATCTGCACTGGGGAGAGGAGAGGAGCTGGGGGACCCGGCTCAGCCCACCTGCCATGCCAGGCTGCTCCAGACAGCCTGCAATAGGGAACCCCAGTAACAAAGCCGGGCCTGGCTCAGTTGCTGGGATCTATGCAAGTGTGCGAGAGACTCCCCCAGCACACCTACATTTAGAGCTACCCGAGTTGTCTTTCAGACACTATCTTTTTAATGACAAAAGTAGGAATACTGAAGAATATAGGACAAGACCAAGAATTTTAAAAACAATCACTATTAACCTTCTGATGTTATATATATCATACATATTTGATTGACGTACAGATCATATATATAACTTTTTACATATTTATAAACACATGGGACAGACAGTCTTACGGCCTGTTTGTGTTTATTTAATATTTTAGGGTGATTATTTATATTTTCTCCCCACAGCAGATGGTGAGCAAGGCCCTCATCTAGGGTCACGTCTTTTCCACCCGGGATCCTTAGTTCCTGGCTCAGAAGAGACCTAACACCTTTGCTGGTGCTGGAAGATACCTCCTTGGCCCCGTCCATGTACTGGGCATTTCTGCACTCAGCCCCAACCGCTAGGCCCTTTAGAGGAGCTGTGGGGGATGGAATGTGACATAGGCCTGCCCTTAAGGAACCGTGAGGAACCACAAGGAAATGCGATGCAGCCCTAAACACCTATAACACAAGGGAGGTGGTTTGGCAACAGCATCACAGGGGTAGCCCACTGGGGGTGGGCGGGGAGGATGGGCCTCCCTTCTGGCTGGAGTGAGCAGGTTCACCCTGAAGGTTGCCAGTAGGATTGGTGGAGAGTTGGGGTGGAGAGCATACTAGCGGAATAAAGGTGGGGAACAAGGAACAGAGGAAGGGAAGGACAAAACTCACAGTGTGTGCTCAGGCTGGGGGGGCAGGGCATAAGAAAGGGTGGTGGGAAATGACCCCTGTGGCATCATGGGGCTAGGCATCCAAGGGCCCACCAGGGCTCTGGGAACAGTGGAGGAACAGTGACCATTTGCTGGGGCTTCCTGAGAGCCTGAGTCCCTGACTCCTCTGGGGGGATGGTGCTGTGGGCTCTGTGCCCTGGTGTTCAAGGAGCCTTCCTTCTCCCTCCAATTCCTTAAAGTCAAGGGAACCAGAAGAATACACAGGAAGACAGACTTCTTTCCTATGGAGAAATCCCAGGCTAGGGATTGGAAAACGGGAGACTTAGAAGGTTGGAAACAGGAACTTTGATAAACAATAACGACCAGATCAGTCCGAAGTTTAACTTTTTTTTAAAGGCATTTTTGTCACCACACAGAACTACCACTAGATGGCAACATGTGCCCCATTTGGAGGAAGGAAAGGCGCAATTTCCTCCATCCTCCTGTTTCACCTGGAGTGGAATGTCTGGCTAGAGGAGACCCTTCTTTAAATGTCTGCAAGAATCTGGTTTGGACTTTCGTCCTATCCAAAGAATTTCCTGTTATTATCAAGGACCACTGGTTGGAGCTTTATTGACGATCCCAAACTTCAGGTCATATCTGATGCTAGGACCTTTCGCCTGACTTTTCTGCCAGGTGCAAAGGGAGCAGTAACTAGAAGGATCTTGAGTGCTGGCTCCGGGGCATAAAGATATGGAGGAAGGGGCCCATGAGTCCAGTGACAGCCGCCAACACCAGGCACCTGCAGTTAGACCTTGCGGTAATCTGTGCTGAATGTGTGTTTATGGACATGGCTCAGGGACAAGGGCTTTGGGTCTGACCAGGACGGGGTGGTATAAAGGAGTCATTTGTCATGACTTTCTCTGAAGACACCAAAACTCAAAAATGGATCTGTCTCCTTTTATTTTATGTTTAAAGATAGTTCTTCCCAATTCGGGTCAAATGATTTGGGAAAACCTAGACTACATGGGTTTCTTGGCCGCGCAACTTCCAACAACACGGAAAATGCTGCCTTGTGCTAACATTTTCCTAAGGACTGGGCCAGGGTGGGGGAGTTAACAACATACAGAGTTATCCAAGATTATTTGACTGCATGACTGCCTTTCATACTTATTCATATCTCCGAGAACGGGTGCTCCTTAGAGCCCCACATTAGAAAACACCGTCAGACAAGCATAATGCCGAACATCTTTTAAGTTTTGATTTCTAAGTGAAGAATTACCTGACACCAAGCACACAGATAAAAAACTAGATCTATCTTCTTTTTTAAAAAATTGCCTTGTTGGTGTTCACTGGGACTCTCTTTCAACTCCCCTGCCTTTTATTAGCTTCTTGTCATTATGCTCAAAGATGGCTCCTTTTTTGGTCTTGAATGCAAGGCAACTATAAATAATGTGAGTTTTACAAAATGCCCATGCCAAGTGAGTGTGCCCCCTTGAGGGTGCTCCCCGGGGATGCCGCTTACCGGTTCCAAGAGTCCCGCCATCCTGCAAACTGCCAACTCTTCGGCATTGTTTTCAGAGCCTACATCAGCCAATTTTTCAAATACTGTTCGGTATTGGTAAATCGTGTCCCATGCACACAGCACCATGCACGATTTTAGAGTGGGTGCTCAGTGAGTTTTGGTGTACAAGTGAGAGAACAAAGTGAAAGAAAAGAAAGAATCAAGAGGAAAGGTGGAGGGGTGAGAATGAGCAAAGCAGGAGGAGTTGAGAGGAAGGCAAGGCAGCTGAGACACAAGGGGGACTTCCCAAGTCCAACCCAGGTGAGCCTCACTGTACCCGCCCCTCCCAGGGGCTCCCAGGGGCCTCCAGGACCGCTCCCCCCGGCTTCCTACTTGTTGTAGAGGACAATGTCAGGAATCCAGATCATCTCCGAAGGGACCCGGAGGGATGTGATGTTGCTGAAATCAGCCGGGTTCCAGTGCAACTTGTAGTCATTCCACTCCTGTGCACAGGGAGGGGCGTCGCATCACCCGGCACTGCCCGGGGAGGGGCCTGGGGACGCCCCAGCAGCTGGCCTCGGGAGCACCCCCAAGTGCCTCCCCTAAGCCCCAGAAGAGAAAGGGCTGTGAGGCTGGGACAGGGCTCTGAGCTGAGGGTCGGGAGTCCAGCCTGTGATAACCAACGCTGCTTTGCCCCAGCTCTAGTACTCAAAGTCCTGGGCACAGCTGGACGATAGGTCACCCTAGTCCCTCCTCTGATCTCATTTCGCCCCCCCTAGCGAGATGACCCTGGAGAGCCACCTCACTCATCTGTAGGAACAACATTGTCAGCGCCTCACAGTTTACCAAGGATCTGTACGCCTTCTGTCTAGGAAGAGCCTCCGTGGGAGAGCTGGGGAAGTGAAAGAATTTCCCCATTTTAACTGGTAAGGAAACTGAGAACCAGGGAAGTGAAAACGTCGCACCAGGGTTATGCTGCTGAGACCAGGGAGTCCACAGTGACCTCCAAACCGTGCTCCAGAGCGCCGCCCCTTGGGAGTCCCAGCAGGGAGGGGATGCTCTGGGCCCCAACTTTGATTCCAGGAGCAGGGCCAAGTGAATCTTCCTCCCCAGAACAAGGTTAGTATTATTCACTTGCTGAAATTCTCCTCTTGAGCATCATCACAAGTGGTGATCAATGTGGATTTGCATATGTATTTATTTAATGCCTATGTAAGTTCTACAGGCCAGGGAAGACCACTGGTTCACTCTGGCTCCCTAACACCAAGCCCCGGGGAAATGCTCAGTAAATGTGTAGCTGAGCAATGAAAACAATGCCTCCTCCCTCTGAAGTTGTCTGGTTCCATTTCTGGGAGGGCTGGCCACATCCCTTCTGGACCTGAAAGAAACAACCACCCCCAACAGATAATGACTTGGGTCTACCCACAAGGCTGTCCTTTGCCTCCCGGGGGCTTTTCATAATTAAAATAATAGCCACTACCATTTAGAAACCCAGTTTTTTTTACAGGGCCTTTAGATGGTTCTTTCTAATCTTCCCAACAAGCTTATGGGTTAGGGTGAAGAAAGTGAGGTGTGGAGGGCACGTTGCTAGTAGGTGGCAGCACTGGTACTTGAATCCTGGCCTCCCCGACTCTGAGCCTGCCCTCATTCCAGGGGCCATTTTGCTTTTGCACATCTTCACTAAAATAGTGCAGTAATGCACCATTGGAAAGGGTCCCATGAATGATGCCTTTTCCCCTCTAAGGATAGTTGTGTAACGTTTACACAAAGCATCCGGCTGGTAGAGATCCAGGAAGGAGTGAAGGGAAATAGCATTTTCAGGAAGCAGGTACATGAGAAGAAGAGCACTGGTCTAGCTCAGTGGTCCCCAAACTTCAAGCACCCAAGTCCCAATTTCATAATTTTTGCCAATATACCTGTATACTGCCTGTATCATCATGTACTTAGTATTTTCCTCTAAACTAGTTCACTATTTTTAAAATTACCTAAATTTTGAAACTTTACATCGCTGACTTAACTAGAAAATCAAGAGCATTTGAGAATATCCACTAACATATAAATATAAGACTATTACAAGAATATTAGCAAGGCAAGTAAAATCATTTCACGAAACACCGCTGTTGATGCCCAACCCACGCTTGAAGAGAAGACACTGGCCTCCTGGAGATATTGACTGCTCACCTGGAGGGGGAGGCTTAGGTGAACAAAGGAGCCAGGCCATGCAAAATAAGGAAGGTTAAAAAAATTCGTAAAATTGTCAGGACTTCTCAGGACATTGATGAACAATTTTGAAAGGGATTGGTACTCATTAATTTAGCCCCCTCCCCCTAGTCCATCATTTCTCAAGCTTTCGGGCTCAACCAACATTTGGAGGGCATCTACACCCATGGGTTATAGTAACTGGCAATCAGTTGCCAATGCAGGCAACAGATGATACTATCCCCATTTAACAGGTGAGGAAATAAGACTCTGATAGGTTAAGTAACCTGCAGAGTATCACAGGTTAGTCAGAGGCAGTGCTGGTCGGCCGGACTCCTGCTCTGGCACCCCTTGCTCCGATCCCCACCCCAGCCCCTGAAGCCAAGGAGACCGGCTCATGGGGACAGTGATGGTAACCCAGGTCCTAGAGCTGGTCCCTGCACTGCAGGACTGTGTGGTTTCCCAAGTCCCTCACCGCTCTGGGCCTCAATTTGTACATCTGTAAAGAGGAGCTGCATGACCCCCTGGCAGCTGCAGGATGAACAGTGTCAGAGGGGTCTGCTCTATGCCTCTCACCTCAGCATTCAGTTATAAACTAAATGGCCCGTATACAGCCCTGGGGTCATGCAAAGTGAGACATTCATTCAAAAGACTCAAAATAGAGTTGCCAATCACAATGCTGATTGTCGTGGTTTTTCTGAGTGCCAACCTCTGAGATAGGAGATGGTCAGGTTACCAGTGGGGCAGGAAAAGGGAGTAGCGGGAGGAAAGGAGGCAGAGGGCTAGGTCCTCTTTCTCATGTTCTCCACCATCTCCACTTCTGGGCCTGGGGAGGGGCTGGGCAGAGCAGGAAGGGGTGAAGTGGAAAGGAATCTATTCAGGCTCTAATAAAGCCTGTGCCCCCAAGTGCTGCCCCCAAGAAGGGTACATCAAAATGGGCCACACATTCTTTGCCAGAAGTGATGCTGGGCCAGTTTCCAGACCTTAAGAAACCAGCAGCTTCATTTCCTGTCTCTTGGGGACCCTTACTCAGGGGTCTCTGAACCTCCAGGTAAGGCAACCAACTCCCCTGCTAGAGAAAGACCCTGAGGTGGGCCCAGCTTCCAGAAACTTCCAGAACCTTCCAGAGCCTTCCAGACATCCCTGCTAAGGAATGGACATGAGTGAAGCTCTCTTAGACCCTCCAGAGCAAACCAGCCACAGGTTAAATAGCACCAAGTAACACCAGTAGTTGCCATGCAAAGCAGAAGAAACCACCCAAACTCCTGGCCATAAAACTATGAAGTATGATAAACTGCTGCTTTAGGCCATTAAGTATTGGGGTCGTTTGTTAAGCAGCATAGATGTGGAACACCCAGCATTCTCCTGCAGAAGGAGCCTGGGGTTCTGAGTTGAGCACACCTGGGTTCCCCCTTTCTAGCTGAACTGCACTCTGCTTCAGGCTTTCCTCAGCTGTAAAATGGGCAGAATGAAACCTCCCCTGGGTTTTCAGTGACTACTCAGAATGAGCTGATCTGCAAACAATGGCCGGCATGCAGGAAATGCCCACTCCCAGAAAGGGGATGACTAGGTTCTTGTAGGCGACCTTCTCGAGGACTGGACTCAGAATCTCAGAGCACAGCCCCTCCGAGAAGCAGCCCACAATTGGCCAGCTTTGGGAATATCACCAGTGGCAACTCTCCTGTGAAATGTGAATTCAGAATCCCTCTGTTTGTGAGAGAGTCCTGGGAGGGGTCTGGGGTCAGTGGGTTCCCACCTTCACTCTTGCCTCAGCCAGGGAAGAGGCTCTCACCTGCTTAAGCCAGACGTTGGTGGTCATCATTTGGTTCTTCTCATCCTGACCGGTGGAGAGAGTAAGAACAATAGAGTGATGGAGCCAGCCCCCCAAAACAGAGTGGAGTGGGATGGGCTAATACAGACCCCCTACTCCCCAGAAGAACCTCTCACATGGCACCCCAAGCCCAGCCTAACCTTCCATCCCCTCCTGACACTGTCACCCTTCCTCAGATCCTTCAGGAGCACACTGGCTACTTGGGTCCTCTGGGTTTGTGTCTAGTAAAACAAACAGGGCACCTAGACAACCCATTGCTGCCGATCAGTGCCCTCTCAGGGGCTCCAGGGCTGGCAGAGTGGAACGGAGAAGGGCTGGAGCTGGGAAGGGAGGGAAGAAGGACCCCGGGAAAGGGACCCGTGATCTGGGGGCTGATCCCAAGGGGGAGAAGCATGGGGGGACAGGCGCACCACATCGATGAGCTGGGCAATAGACAGCCCGAAGCGCACGATCACCACGTCCGAGGTGTTGGGCACTGGCCGTGCCCAGCGGTTGTAGCCCCTAAAGAGGTGTTTGAAGAGGCGGTCCTCAGCTTGGGTATGTGGGGCTCGCTGTGCCAACCCTGTGGACGGGAAGGAAAGTGGTTGGGGTCAATGACCCGCCGGCTAATGCTAACCACAAAATCTTCCATGCTGCATGGGAGCCTACAGGTGTGACATGATGTCGTAGTGATGACACCCACTCACCTGCTGGGATCAGAAGGAGCCACCACAGACTGAGCTTTGTCATGGACAGGACCGCAGAGTGGGAGGGGCCCATGGCTTCAGAGGACGGGGGCTGGCTTCCCCTGGACATCAGAAGGAGGGCAGGCCAGGGCTGTGCTGTGGCTGGAGGCTCGGATCTGCTTCCCCAGGAAGGCTTCCAGGTGCTGACGTGGCAGAGCTCCCACTGGATTCCACACAGCCCCTCTCACTGTGGAACCTGAGCAAGCCATGGAAAGGGTCTTGGGGTCGTGCATCCTTGACACACATGTGCTTTTGTTCCTCATACTTTACAGAGCCGAGAAAGGTGAGCAAACAGGCCTCCCAGGAGTCGAGGGCTTTGGGCTCTCCCTGGCTTCACTGAGGAACTAGCATCTTCTCTTCCTCTGGTGTCAACCGGTCACTCTGCCCTGACCCACTGGACAGAGGAGGGTGCAAGGTGGGAATGAAGTCCCCTTTGTTCTGGCCTCAGCGCTACATCTCTAGAAGAGAGATGATCATACCACAGAGGGTGGTCAAGAGAAGAATGCCGGTGCTATTCACAATAGCCCAAATGTGGAAGCACCCAAATGCCGGTCAGCTGATGAACACACACAAAACAGACGGTATGTTCATACAATGGAAGCCTAGGTCATAAAAAGGAACAAAGTGCTGTCACCTGCTACAGCATGGATGAACCCTGAAAACATGCAAAACGAAAGACGCCAGACACACAAAAACTACACATTGTGGGATTCGATATATATGAAATATCCAGAATAGGTAAATCTGTGGGGGCAGAGAGCAGATTAACGGTTGTTGGGGGGGATGGGGGGAAGGGAGAAGAGGGAGTGATCGTTAATGGTACAGGGTTTCTTTTTGGGGTGCTCAAAATGTTCTGCAGTGATGTTGCAGTGTTCGTTGTACAACTCTGCGAATATACTAAAATTCACCAAAATGAACATTTTCAAAGGATGAATTTTATAGTAATGAGTACTATATCTCAAAAGAGCTGTTATTAAAAAAATAAACAGACACCTTGTGGATTAGTAAAAAAAAATAAATAAATAGCCAACTTTTCAGACAATGATAAAGGCCAGAACATGGATATGGTTCCAGTGGTGAGAAGGACGCTGAAGCCAAAGATGGGAGTGAAGTGTTGAATGTTTTGTCACAGGGGGAGTCGGAGAAAAGGGTGGTGCCTTCATGAATGGGATCAGTGCTCTTACAAAAGAGATCCTAGAGTGCTCTCTCTCCCCTTCCACCGTGTGAGGACACAGCAAGAAAGCATCATCTGTGAACCTGGAAGCAGATTCCTATCAGACACCAAACCTGCCAGCACCTTGGTGTTGGACTTTCCAGGCTCCAAAACTGTGAGAAATAAATGTCTGTTGTTTACAAGCCACCCAATCTGTGGTGTTTTTGTTATGGCACCCCCGTGGACTAAGAAAACAAAATTGCTCTTTTCCAATCTTTTTTTCTGTATATATACAGATCACCCGTGTTATCTCTGGGTACAGAAATTAGAGGTAATTTTTACTTCTTTTTGACACTTTGCTATATTTTCCAAATTTCCTACCATAAGTATGTACTAGCTATTGAATATTATAAAGTACTCTGAATTGGGTGGTGACGTCTGCTGGGTGTTTTATGTGCCCTCCCCCCATCTCATGGGAGGGAGTGGGGAAGTGACTCTCATCCCCAAAATATGTGTAGAGTTAAGACTCCATTTCTCTAGCACTACTGTTAACTACCTAAAATTTAAATTAAAAAAAAAAGACTCCATTCCTCCATCTGAATGGAGTGCAAGTCATCAAAGTCATCTATGAAAAATGTGGAAGCAACCCAAATGTCGATCTGTGGATGGATGGATAAATGACTATGTTGTATACATACAGTGAAGTATTATTTAGCCTTAAAAAAGAAAAAAAATCTGACATGTCTATGGACATGGATGAACCTTGAAAATGTTAGGCTAAGTGAAATAAGCCAAATGCCAAAGGACAAATATCGTATGATTCACTTATTTGACTTACCTAGAGGAGTGAAATTGATAGAGCAGCTGGGAAGAGGCGGGGAGTGGGGAGCTACTGTTTAATGGGGGCAGAGTTTCAGTTGAGGAAGATGGAAAGCTGTGGAGATGGATGGTGATGATGATTGCACAATGAAGTGAATGTTCTTCATGACACTGAACCGTACACTTAAACATGGTTAAAACAATAAATTACGCATATTTTGCCACAATAAAAAAATACTTGGGGAAGAAAAACAGGTAATAAATACTCAAAACTCATAAAAAAAAAAAAAGAGTCAGCTGTGTTCCTGGGAATCACCTTAGGGCTGAGACAAAAAACGAGAACAGGAAATAGATCCTAGCACTGAACTCCTACAATGGGCTCCGAAGGTGAAACAAAAGCTGACAGGGGCTTGGGAAGAGAAGCAGAAGTCACTATTATGAGCTCCTTGTGGATGCAAACTGTGTCTCATTCACCGGCTATCTCAGCCCCAAGCACAGCCCTTATAACACGGGTTTGCTTTGTGCGTTCTAGGTATGTCGGGTCACCCATGAATGGGACCCAGGAGTGGAAGAGGGTTCTGGAAGAATCTATGAAGGAGACCCAGGCTTATGGCTTAGTTTAGGGAGCAAGATAACATTGAACACTTCCTCCATAATCTGATTATTTATTCTTCTCTTTACTCATTCATCTTTCCACTTCCTCTTCCATGATGGGGCCAAAAATGTGTCAGGCATTAGGGATGAAGAATCAAGAATGTGTGGCCCTGAGGGGGACACAGTAGAGAAGAAAGGACAGAAGAAAAATTCTGGAATCTCATCTGCTCATCCACCCCTGCTGTAAGTCATGACTTTATTCATTTAGTCCCATTGGTTTCAAAGCCATGCGGAGAGACCTCAAATTCCCCGAGATGTTCCTTCGGAGCTCTTTACAACTCCTCACACTGGGAAGCTCTTCCCTGAGTCTGATGTTGTGTAAGCACCTGAGAAATGCTTGAGTTGCGTTGAGTTGAGTTGATTTTAGAGATCCTGGTGTTGCCAACAGAGACAAATTTCATTGACATCCAGGGGAAACTGCAGAGCACATTGGTTTCTTTGTTTTTTGTTGTTGGTGGTGGTGGGTGGTTGGTTTTTTATCCTTCTACACTCATTCAAAACCTGACAATCACAGGGCTCCTTTTCTGGTTCCTTTTCTCTTTCATTCTCTACCCCAGATGCTTTAGGATTCTCATGTGTCCCATGTCTCCCTAATTGACCTGGGTTGTCAGTGACAAATTATTACCTGACACCATCTCTACCATTGAGAAGTTTCATTTGCTTGTTAAAATGAAGGGGAGCTAGAAAATGGAATTGTTCCTCTCCACCAGGACATATCCATGAAGATGCACTGCTTTGTTTTCAGTTAGCTATGAGAGAACAGGGCGGACAAGCACAGGGAAAGAGGTTGCCAGGGTCCCCTTTGATGTTAACGCCTAGATCTTTCTAAGAACAATTTACACTTGTGTAGTTTTAAGGCTTACAAGGCACTTTCACACCTTTGACCTCATTTGAGCCTCATATCATCTCTAGAAGGGAAAGGGGGAGAGATTTTATTATCTCTTTTATATAAATAAAAGAAATACTGATGCTTAGAAAAGATTTGCTCAGGGATGTGTAGTTCAGAATCGATACATTTGGGATTCATACTCAGGTCTTCAGCTTCTAAACTATAATCTGGTAAAGTGCTACCCAGTGCCACTGACTAGAAGGGCAATTTGTATGGGCAACTTATGCCTATACCTACATTTGCAGATCCTCGCTCTATTGACTGTCACTGCTGAGCCACTGTCAGGACTGAGGTCGGTGGCAGATGGGTGATGAGAAGAGAAAGGTGTCCCACCCCACAGCCATGTTTGCCTGGATCCAGGGTTCTAGGAGTTTCCACTATGTGCAGATTCATTCACTCCTCCTACCAACCCCTACCATGGCCACAAATCCCAAGGCTATGACCTGTTTCACCTTTCAACCAAGCGCACTAAATAAAAGGTTTTTTTCCCCATTAGTGACAATAGGAGGAAAAAAAATCCAGGCATGCTGAAATTGCATCATATAAAGAACCAACCAGAGATCGGCTGGACCCTCCGGAAGAATGTGCAAATAAAAGTCAATCGATCCTAGAGGATATAGTCCTACAAGAACCCTCAAGTTTGCATCCTTTGTAATTAGCCTGCGAAGATAATTTCCTTACTCTGTCACTGGAAACCAAAGGAGAATTATCCCAGGTAATTGACATAATTGGAGTTACCTTCTGCCTAAGGAAGATATTAAAAGCGAAAGAGCCCTGGACCCTTTGATCTTTAAGCGGCTGGATTGGCAGCTTTGGGGGAGGGAATGGCTGTGGGGTGACGTCCCTGCTTGTAAAGTGGGTCTGGGTGAATGGGACGCACAGGGAAATCTACATAAAGGACACTGTGTATGTAAAAGGCTCAGACACCAAGATCCCCACTATTGCTGCTGACGCACTTGGATGACCAGACCACCCCCCACCCCCATGCCGACCTCCTGAGTCCTGGTTCCCTGAAGTCAAGGTAATTTGGCCTCTTTGTCCATCTTCCTACTGCAGCTGATTTTCGGCTTCCCGCCCACCAGGTCACTTTCTAGTCTTTTCACAAACATCACCTTCTTCTGGAAGCCTGCTTAGATTCCACCAGCTCCTCTCTGCCATCCAGCACCCCATCTCCCCACATGAGAGTCCCATCTCTCTCCCAACTGTCAATACCCCAAAGAAAGCCCCTTGATTAGAGGAAATGATATTGTTTCTTCTTCCAAATAATTTCATGCCAGGTGCTTAGGGGAGAGAGCCTATATTTCTAGCTTGTATATCTGCTCTGCTCCATACCCTGCTCAATCAGAGAAGCCTAATATCTCAAGGTCAGAAGGACTCTTAAAGGTCATCTGGATTAGCCCATCAGCTGATGTAGGAAACCTCTCTGACAAATTCCAGCCTCAGAAAAACCCCGGCAATGAAGAACTTGCTAACCTTCCAAGTCAGTGAATACCATTGATGTCTGTCAGTCTTTACTAAAAGATATAGAATATTTACTTCATGAGTAAATAAATGAAAGAATAGTACACAGAAGCAGATTTGATATAGGAACGCCACTAACGCCTGAGACTGAGCTACCCCAGTAGAAGGGGTTGACTGTCACTGGGCTTTGAACAGCCCTCGCAGGGACAACCAGAAG